CTACATCATTGATCGATGGAAACTTGCCAAGCTCGCTGCGATCGTTTCCTGACTATTGAATTAGCGCTCGCCCGGGAAAATTTGAAACGCCCACGCTTTTTTTCTCATGTCTCCAACTCTACACGGAAGTTCATAGAAATCCTTCATGAGATCGGAACACTCTCATCGTGTCATTTTGGAAAGGCACAAGCATGGGCATACACGCGCTTCTCACTGGGAGGTTAATTACTTTGTCCGTTAAGTCGCGCACTCTCAACAATGAGGGATGTGCGACGTGCTACGATAGAATAGAACAGGAATCAAAGTCGGCTGGACTCACTGCTAAGCCGTGATGTGCTTCGATGAGGCCCCGAACTTGATTGCCACCCAGCAGAGTCAGCCAAGGATTCGCAGCATAATGTGTAGCTTCATCTAACCCTTCGAAATCCTAAACACCAAATAGAAACGGCACGCGTCAATGCGCACTATCCTCGCGAGCACGAGGATAATGAATTTTGATCTGTTCCGTCGAACCAACCTGGCCGAGGTCGAGTGCTTCTTTGATCGCCTTGTCGAGCGGCCTGATGGTCTCTTCAAGTTCCCTCTGTACTTGGGACAACAGTCCTGTCATCGCATGTGCTCGGATGTGCTTCGCATCATGCATCTTCTGTTCGTAAGCAGCTGCGTACCTGAGCCGGGTTTGCCCCCAGGTGTCAGCAACGCTACATCACGTAGCCTTTAGGTAGTTCACCAGTACTTGCCTTTTGATTGGTTTGATCAAGTGGGAATCTTTTGGATGCATTGATCCCCATTGCCTCAACACGTTAGGAAGCCTTTCAACACCACTACGATGAGCAACTGTATGATGCCGATGGACTTCATGAAAGGCACTCGGGTGTGACAACACGACCATTCACTAAGAGGGGTGCCAAGGGACAAGACTGCGACACGGATGTATGCGACGCCCGATCACGGCGAACGCCATATAGTACGTGGGACCCAAGTCCCCAAGAATTGCTTTCAATTCGGCGAGCGTCCATGCTTGTCTTCTTACTAATCGACTTTGATATGTTACAAGAGCTTGCTTATTCATTGAGCAGGTCCCAACACATCGAATGGGACACACATGCAATATGCCCAGTCGGTGATTTTACGTACGACACAATTTGGGTGTGTGAGGATATCGATCAGGCGCGCGCTAAATCGATCGCGCAACTTCGCCGCCAAGTGGAAAAGAGACAACCTAAAACGAGATTTTCGCCAGATAGGCCAAGCCTATGACTCATGGGCTATGAACGCCCTGCATGCTCATAAATTGTATGTTTCTGATGAGCAGGAGTGTTCTGGTGTCTGGAAAACACGGTGCCGTCGGTCCGTTCAAAAATAATCGGTCATTTGTCGCCCATTAGCACTTCCGTTTTCTCGTGGGGAATGTCCCACTTCATCCCCACGGTATACACTGAGTCAACGACGTGGACTCGGGACTCTCATGACCTCTTCGATTACGAGAGCCAACACGTTGTTCGCCGGGACTTCGCTTTGAACCAAACGGTCAGATTCGTGCGGAGAAATGGTAAGCGCTAGAACGTGGTATGTGTCGTCAGCCGGAGAGTCGATTTTCATCGTAGACGACGTTGGTATAGAAGATGCGTCGGTCGATGCGATTCCTTCAAGAGAGGAGTCAGACTATCTCATGAAATGTATCAATTTCGATTCAAGGTACCCATGTTTTGTACAGATGTCCCTGGACGCGGGTGTTATCAGGTTCATGATACAACCCGCAGATAAACAGTCGGGCTCATGTCGGCTGATCCCTAAGAGTCTTTGGCTTGTTGTGAAAGAAGTAAAATTTGCGCTAATTTTGTAGATTATTGACTGACTTTCGACTTCAGCTTGGACCACATACCCTTCTGGAAGGGGACATCATCAAGCTGGGTCGTTTCAAGTTGCGTGTGCGTCAGCTCTGTGCAGACTCCGAGGATCGCTTGGTGATATCCCACCAGTTTTAGGATTTAGAGTGACCACAAATCCTCTCTGCAAGTTCGACCAATTCTGAGCAGCACTGACCCTGCTACCTCGGTAGCTCGATGCGCCCCTCCAGA